TACTTTATTGCCCCTTATTCCTTGGGAAACTTGGAGTGGCCATTTTTAACCCTTGCAAAAACTTGCTTGGAGTCACTTCCTCCAGGCCACTTGGTGAACTTCAAGCTGAATGGGATTTGAAATTGGGTTCCCCATGACAGCGTTCCATTCGCCTCAGCATTTAGTCATGCCAGCCATATGACCACAGAAATGTCTTTGGACGGCGCTGGCTCTTCAGCTTGGAGACGGAGATGAGCACCACCCCCTAGAGTTGGATTCGACTGGCTTTCAAGCAAGGGAAACCTTTACCTTTACCTCCCCATGTCTAGGCCCCAAACTACCCACTGCAAAAAGCTATTACTTCACCTCTGGGAGTCCATTCAGGGCTGCAGCAGGCACCCCTGTTTCCCACCCCCCCAATTCTTTCCCTTACCATAGAGTTCTCACAAAGCCTCTGCACATCTAGGATCATGCTCCTAACAGTCCTTTCTGGCAGCCCTTGCTGATAATTCTTTTCCCATAGGTCCATTGACGGCTTCTGGAATCCACGGAAGAGAAATGCTCATGTGCCCCTGTGGAACTACACAATGCTGCGCTTCCAGGTACAGTGCAGACGCTACTGGACTGCGGCCCCACTTTCCTGCATGCCTGCTGTGCTAGTTTCTGCACCAGTGATGTCCTGTTGAAGCAAAGGGAGCTCTGTGTGATAGGTGAGCCACCTCACCACCCCTAGTGCTGCTTCCTGATAAGATACCTGGTTCCTCATTCAGAAGACCTGTAAGGGAATGTAGTGGCTAGAAGTGGAGCACTGGTAGCCAGCATGGGCAGGGGGTAAATCAGATGGGCGTGACCAATTCTGGGTTTGGATGAAAATATATAAATGAATAAATGAGGTAGCATATTATGGAGTTTATTGACAGCCACCCACCCACCCCCAGGTCTGTGGTTAAACTTTAAAACTTTAACCCAACCAAGAGGTCAAATGTATTTTGGTGCTGAAAGTCTTCTTTTCTCTTCTCCTGGATTGGTTATTATTTAAGGAAAAAACTTGTCTTCCTAAAACCACACAGGCGTCACGAGGTAAAAAGGAAAAACATTTGTTTATTTCCACGGAAAGGGTTAAGGATACTTAGAAGAAGTAGCAGGAGCTGAAGCTACTTATACATTGTAGTTTTCTACTTCTGCTGGACACAAGGCATAAGCAACAGTTCCTAATAAAATGCCCTAACCTGGATGGCCCAGGCCAGCCCCAGTCTCATCAGGTCTCAGAAGCTAAACAGGATCAGTCCTGGCTAGTCGTTGGATGGGAGACCTCTAAGGAATACCAAGGTCATGAAGTGGAGGCAGGCAATGGCAATCTGTTCATCACTTGTCTTGGAAACCCTGCGGGGTCGCCATGAGTCAGCTGTGACTTGATGGTGCTTTTCATCACACTAATAAAACAATGTATTCTGAGGCAAGTGAGCAAATAACAGCCAATCTGCAGTTAGAGAAAAAATTATAACTGAGTGGACCCAAGGTTATGGCATCCCAGATTATTACTGCATCCAAGATTATATACAATACAAAAACCTTTATTGGCGTATAAAATCAGTAAGATAAGAACTTCGTCAAGCTAAAATATCAGGTTATAACTACCAGAGTACTTTCAAATAGGCCCACAGGCTGGCCCTTGATTTCTTCCCTCAGCCCTAATGATTCAGAAGCCCTCCATGGCTTCTTCCTGTGGCCTCCTGTCTCTCCAGCTTTGCCCTTTATGCCTCCTGCTGACTACTTGGCCTCCGAGCCTTAATGAGGATTCTTCTTGTCAAACAGATCTTCATTGTTTACTTCATTGCGGGCATCAAGAAGCTGGATGCTGATTGGGTGGAAGGCTACTCCATGGGCTCTCTGGCAAAGCACTGGCTCTTCAGCCCATTCAGGTGAGTAGGAGGGGCCAGAGGCGGCTTGACCATTGTCAGAGGTCTTCAGTGTCTTGTAATGAGTGGCTCAGGTGGAATGATACAGCTCTTTCCCAAGCCGTTAAGGGCCTGGCTCCAGGTCCTGCTGAGCACTGCCTGGAGCTGTCCTGAGCCGCTCTTTACCTGTGCTGTGTCTCCTGCCTCAGGTTGGTGCTTTCCGAGGAGATGACCAGCCTACTGGTAGTGCACGGTGGGGGCTTGATGCTGGATCTGACAGCTGGCTTCCTGCTCTTTTTTGATGCCAGCCGCCCTTTTGCTCTCTTCTTTGTCTCCTACTTCCATTGTATGAACTCCCAGCTTTTTAGCATTGGTAAGTACTCTGCGTTACCCAAACTACCCCATTCAAAGGCTGCTGTATTAAGAGGGCAACTAGTCAGCCATAGCTCAGGACTGCAGCTTGAGAGATAGCTACCATTTCCAGCAAAGAAGCTCTTGTCAGCTGGAAGTTAATATGGGTTTTGTACTCTTCTCCTATCCATCCTTGGAGCACGGTTACGCTTGCACAAGGACCATGGATCTTCTGTGATTTCCCCTCCTCTCCAGTTGTCCTCCTTGATTCCAGGAAAGTTGATTACTGGGATTGTGGGCTCACATAGAATAACCACCATGTGGATCGGTGGGCTGATGTGACGAAGGCAAAGAGGGCAGAATTGCTGCATCTTCTGACAGTGCAGCTCTGCTGATAGAAGAGGTGAGAAGGGTAACTTTGCCCCATTCTCACTGCAGCTACCTGATCCACATGGCTGTTTCTCCAAGAAGGTCCTGTGACCCCAGGAATCAACCATCTTGAATGGTTGGAAAAGACTGCTGGATGGAGGGAAAAGTGGGGAAGATCACTTCACTGACAGGTTATCGGATGCAACCTATCGAGGTATTTGGAGAAACAGACAAGATGTTCATTGGATGGTCTTGTTCGGGACTGCTTTGTGTAGCTGCATTTGTGAAGGGTCCTTCCATTCAGATAGTTTGCTATCTACTAGTTTTTGAAGTCGTATTTAGCATAGGCTTGATCTTGCAGACCTCTCCAAAGGGGATTATTTGTCCTGGGTGCCTTTCTTGACTACAGGGATGTTTTCCTATACTATGCTGGCCACCAGCCCCCTCTTCTGCTACCCTGACTGGCCACGTCGCCTGACTGCCAAGCTCCCAGTCTTCTTGCAAAAGTTCCTGCCCTCAACAGATCCTCCACAGCCCAGCCAGGAGTGTGTGTACAGAGAAGCAGGGCAGCAGAGATTGGGCAGAACAACTCGGAAAGTGGGGCTGCGGCATAAGCTTGGAGCCATCTTTACGGTGTTGTATGTGGTGGAGCAGTTCTTCCTGCCTTACTCACATTGCATCACCCAGGTGAGACTCTTTTGGCAGTTTTAGGGTTCTATAGTTAAATTGTGGATGTTCTTATGGGATGGATGAGACCTTTCTTGGCATGGGTCATCCAAAGAGAAGATAACGGTGGGACTAGCAATGAGCAGCTCACAGGGTTGAAGAATGCCACCTGAGCTGGAATCCTGCAAATATAACTCTTCGGCTTCCTTGAGACATCTTGCTCCTATGGGACAGGAAGTGTGTGGTCCAGGGCCACCTGTAAACATGCTGAGGATTGATTGCTGATAGCAGTCTTAATCAGGGCTATAAAACTGAGGAGCTGTGGTAGAGCATCTCTTTTGCATGTCAAAGGTCCCAGGTTCAATTCCCAGCGTGTCCAGTTAAAAAGATCAAATAGTTGGTGATCCAGAATAGCGGTGTTTGGAGAGCCACTGTCAGTCAGAGTAGACAGTACTGCCCTTGTTAAACTAATGCTATGACTTAGCAGAAGGCGGGGTCATGTGTTCACTGAGCGTCCAGTCCTTGGTTATTTTTTAACAAAGTCAGCAAACACACAGCGATTTTTAAAAAGTCAGATATTAAGAGGAAGGTGCTTTAACTAAATAAATGAAATCATTTGATTCCAATATATTAAAATTATAAAGCAGAATAACAGTTTTTTAAATGAAATACAGGCCTGGAGGAAATATGCAGTAGTCTCAGATACAATGTTTGAAAGCTCAGTTGACTTAGGAAAATTTACTACCATAAATCTGTAAATCAAAGCTTTCAGAATGAGTTGTGACAATTCTCTAGATCATTCGTGAGGCCCTCAATAGCAGCAATAAATCAACCCTTCAGGTTTAATATGCAGTCCTTTTAATGTGTTGACTAGTAAGCTTAGCAAGTGTCTGTATTTTGGATTGGAGATCTTGGTAACTGAAGTTCTCTAGCTAAACCTTCTCACAGAGGAAGAAGACACAAGTGAGGCACATCTATTCAACTAGCTGTGAGAAGGCATTTGTTCAAGAGATGAAGGACTGCTGTATCAAACTTGGGGAAATTGCCTTTGTTACTGCCACTTTGCATTTCTCAGTGGATCTGTTGGAGCATAACAACTCCTTTTGAGCGGTTTGGCATACAGACAGATGCATTAGTACCTCGGACTGGATCCTGTTAAGTATTGTATCTGAGATTATTTGATGTTTCTTACTGTGGTTGTGTTTGGTTTGCTTTTTAATTAATTGATTTAATTCTGCTTCACTGTTACAATGTTGTACTAAAGTGAAAGGATTTGGTTTAGTTTGTGTAGGTTAGATGATTAACCCTCTCAGCTTTTAGGCATAGAGCGTTGGCTTGAGAGGAGGTGCTGAAACTGAGGGCATTGCTGTAACTGTTGGGGGATTGGAACAGCAGCATCTGCCCACCTAGGAAGAAGTGACATCAACCAGTCAATTCCCCACACAGGGTTATAACAACTGGACCAACGGACTTTATGGCTACTCGTGGGACATGATGGTCCATTCGCGCTCCCACCAACACGTGAAGATTACATACCGGGATGGTCTCACCGGGGACCTTGGTTATCTGAACCCTGGGGTCAGTTTTTCTTCCTTTCCTTTCTTTTGTGGGGGCACTTGCCAGAGCAGTTGAGGATTACAAATGGCTACCTTGCAGGAGAATGCCCGTCAAGAACACTGTTGCATTCACTGAATACACGGGTACCTAGTTTTCCCTATACATTCACTGCAAGAATTTATCTTTCAGGGCTGCCTGCTTGGTGTGCATATGGGAAAGTAAGCATGCACTGCTGGAAGATGTTTGTTTTCCTGCACAGAAGTGATGTTTGGGTAGGAAAGTATGTAAGGTGTATGTTAAGGTGGTTGTGCCTGTGAAATGAACCTTTCTCAGGCCTGTAAGATTTGAATGGCCTAGCAGAACAGTAAGGCCGCAAACTGGCACTTGGAAAGAATGATTTCTCAATACTTGCAAATTGCCTGACGTGTATTGATTTGAACTTCTTCAGGGGCAAAATCTTGGAGAAGCAGGCTGTTCTGTGAAGATTCTCTCCCTTTGATTTTTTTAAAAATCAAAATGTGCTGGGCCATTCACAAGTATTATGGAGTTTGGATCGAGCAAGCAGAACAAATATGCAAACTAAGTACAAAGAGTTGAATTTATGTAATTGGTGTAACACCTTTTCAGATTTATATTTTTCTACCTGCAAATTTTGGTGCATTTGGAATAGTTCATGCTGGGCGTTGCCCTACATCAGCAGCTGCATAGTTCCCGGCACTCCTGTGTCTCCTGTGTCTTAGCTGTGTGTGTTTGGATAGGTGTTCACTCAGAGTCGGCGCTGGAAGGACCATGCAGATATGCTGAAACAGTATGCCACCTGTCTCAGTCACTTGTTGCAAAACTACAACATTTCGCAGCCAGAGATCTACTTTGACATCTGGGTGTCCATCAATGACCGCTTCCAGCAGAGGTTTGTGGGGGGGGGGGTTGAAGTAGAGATGCTGGGTGGCAGCAAGTCAGAAACTTAAACTGACACAGCCACGAGAGCTACAGTATGCAAGCAGGCTGTGATAACAATCAGTCGTGCAAGCCTCACAAACTATTCCAAGTATGTTGTGATTTGATCAATCTGTCTGAAAGGCTGGTCCGACCTCTAGCAAACTACCACTTTCATTGTTTTCGACTTTCTGTGCAACCAGGATCCTGTAAAATAGCAGTATTTCAATATTTCTAGCCATAGATTGGGGTGCCTAGAAGGGAAGTTCTGCTGATGTTGAAGGGCAGGAGGGGTGGAAGGGGAGCTGGGATAGAGGTGATTGTCTGTCCTGGTGGTGCCCCATGAAGAGAGGAGGATGTGAGAAACCAAGGCTGGAACAACAATGGACTGTCTGCCCTTGGACTAGCAAGAGTCCATTTTGCCAAATAATGAGACCAGCTTCATAGTTGGGGTTGGTGGCTTTTCAGATAGAAATGGGTGCTATATATGTGTGTGTGTGTATCCAGGAAGGAGAGTTTGTGGGATAAAGGCAGCTACATGGAATCTGGGAAATAGAGAGAGCCATCCTCACTGCTCGATATATTTGGGATTCCCCTGCTCCACTTTGCTCTTTGCTCATCCCCTCCTCAGACTCTTTGACCCAAATGTGGACATTGTGCGGGCTGAGTGGTCACCCTTCAAAAAGACGCCATGGCTGAAGCCTCTTATGGTTGACTTGTCACCCTGGCGGACAAAGCTGCAGGAGATTGAGAAGTCACTGGACAACCAGACTGAGGTGGTCTTCATTGCAGACTTCCCAGGTACCCCATGGGACTTGGAAGCTGGCTCCTTGGGTAGGCCAGGTCACCTTGAGCTTACACCTTGGCCAAATGCCTGTGGGTTGCTTGTCATTAGAGCTGGACTTAACTTCACTAGGAAGTTGTGTGTCATACTTCTCATGTAGGTTAACTTGTACAAGGGGATGGCCTTTGGTAATAGTAGTGTTCCTGCAGTGTAAGAAACGCTCTTGGCCTGCATGTCAGCTGCTCATGCCCTGGTTGCCCCTGTGACAGGTCTGCACCTTGAAAACTTTGTCAGCGAGGACCTCGGCAACACCAGCCTCCATTTGCTGAAAGGGGAAGTGGCTGTGGAGATTGTCAATAAGCAGACAAATTATACGCTGCAGGAAGGAGACAGAATACAGGTGAGAGCTCAGAACCCAGGAGTGTGGGAGGTGAAGTTCCTTCAGCTGACCTTCACGATCTCCAGTGAACCTGAGGCTCTGCCCCAAATGAAAGAGGAAGGTGAGGGGAGCTTACCAGCCACTCACCCCATGAGCTAAGAAAGTATGACTCCACCTTTGCTCATATCTTCCCTTGGGAACCCCATGAGAGAGAACTTCACGAGGTCACCATGAGTCAGTTATGGTATGCAGGTGCATCACCTGTATGTATTAAATATTTATGTGAGGGTTGGGGACAATTGTGGAGGAGGGGAAGCCCAGGGAGGGTTTTGTGGGAAGAAGTTCCTCCCCAGCCCCTCTCTGATCGTGAGAAATCACCTGAGGATTTTCAAGTCCACATGGGCTGTTTGAAATGCAAGAGATAAGGCTGGGAGGCCTCTGGAGAATCCTGGTGTTGTGGGGAGACTTGATACCTACCTAGTTTTGCCACAACCGCTGCTTCTGTGCTTGGTCACAGCTGCCAGCTGGTGAATACCATAAAGTTTTCACCGTGTCCCAAGAGCCCTCGTGCTACATGTACATCTATGTCAACACCACCGAAGCAGCCCTTGAGCAGAAATTCACTGAGCTTCAGGAACTGCGGGAGAAGGTGCAGAATGGGAGTGGTGAGTCGTGACAGTGGCTGGCGAGGGCGGGGGGGGGGGGGGGAGGGCAACCCTTTGGCCTGATCCAACATTGGCATCTCTTATGTTCTTATGTAGGCTCCCTGCCTATATCGAACCTGTCCAAACTGGCCTCTTCTAGACTGCTCTTGCTTCCAGGTGGGCTTGCCTTCTTCTGAGCCCTGATCTTTTTATTTGCCCTTTCCTTCCCCCTAGAAACAGAACCTCTTCCCCCAGAGCTGCAGCCCATCTTAGGCAGCTCCCTGGAGAACGTGACCCAGACAGACCCAGTTGTCGAGGCTTTCCTTCGGCGGGAGCGGCGGATGGAGGAGCTGCAGAAGCGACGCAATGCCACACTAGGAGAACGTTTCCACCGTTTCACCACCAAGAAGTATTTCATCTTCCGCAGGAGGTGGGGGACATGTTCCCAGCAATAGCTTCTGTCCTCTCCTTATTCGTGAGAGACCCTTGCTGTATCAAGCTGCGTTATTGCCTCACTAAGGTTCCTTTTACGCTAAGTATTCTGCCAAACTGCTGCAGTTCAGTGTTGTCTGTATTTACCTTCTGTCTTGTTTCAGACCTGGCTTATGGTGGTATCTTTGGCTTTGAACACCATTACAGCAGTACCTGACTAGGTGTTGCTGACACACTTGGCAAAAGTGGTCAAGATGGGTGAGGTGGTTGGTGATGACCCACCATTTCATAGCTGCAGTGTCATTTTAAAATGCAGCCTGGCCCCTTCCCTCATTCTTCTTATACATCTACAAGTGCGAAGACAAAATGAGATCAGGAAATGTTTAAAAAGTTGGTTTTGCCTGCAGGTTTGTAAGCTTAAGCCTATTGCACTTCTGCTGGAGTGCAACAGTTAACTGGTGGCACTGGTGATCAATTAAGATGAGGCCACAAAAAGGATTGATTAAAGGGCTTGAGGAAGCCATGAGCTCATACGTTTTGGGAGTAGGGTTGTCAGGTCTTACCTATGTCCCGGCAGCGGGCTCCAGCCCAGGTTCCGGGATCTTCTGGCACACATGTGCAGCATGCACACCACGGTGACATCTCCCAGAAGTGACATCATTGCACCGGTCACATTGTTCAGGGACGCTCTAGCATTTGGGTAAAAAATTCCATGGTCACCATAGATTTTTTTACCCAGATGCTAGAGTGCCCCCACACGATGTGCCCAGCGTGATGATGTCACCTCTGGGTGATGTCATCACACTGGAGCTCTTCAGAGGTGCAGCTTCCCCAGCCAGTTGGCTGGCGATAGATTGGGGCCCCCAAAAGTGGGAAAACCCCTGCCCCAATTGGGAGGATGGCAACGCTAGTTGGGAGGTCTTTTGTTCACAAGAGCACCCCTTTAAGTTTCAGTTGCACCAGTGAAGTAGCACGACTGGCATTAGGTGGGGATGGCAGTGCCACATAGCTGTCAGAAGTTGCTTGGAAGGCCACAAAAGCAAGAAGTGTCATGAGCAATTGCCTGCAATAGCCTAGAATATGATCACTATTTGAAGGTGACTGAGCATGAGCCGGATGTCACAGGGAAGGCAGGCAAAGCTTCCTCTGTTGGTCAGTATGGCACTGCCTGCTTTTGCCTTTGCCATGGAGCTGAGCATGATGGAGTTGTAGTGGGAATGCAGCAAGGTATTCAGTGCAGACTAGAACCACAGTTATGATTCTTTGTGTAGATGTCAGCAGAAGAGCAGCACAATAGCGGCAGTAAAAAGTACTTGAGTAGACCTAAATTCCAGTCTCTTAATAAGAAAGAGACAATTTGCCACAATGCTGTTCTTTCAAGGAGTACTACATAACCAGCGGGTTCCATCTGTGAAGTTCTTCTGGGATCTTGAGAACTCTCTTGGCTCAGCGACACAGAATGCCAGTAGCTGTTTAAGGTGCCAGCCCAGCCTAGTTGGCTGGTTGCTTCTACTTAGGTGAGGCAGTGAATTCCCTCTGACCTAGCTTATTTTGGCTCTTTGCAAGGATTCCTGCAAGCGTTCCAGTGCTGCTTGCTTGCCTTAGCTGTCTGCCATTCCTTACCTGTCCTCACCCTGCTTTCAAGGTCTGCCTTCACCAAGGAGGCTTACCAGGAACAGGCTGGAGAGTGGCCAAAAATACATTTGCATTGCAGCTGTCGGTTAAATTCAGATTTTTCTAGTTTTGATGTATGATTTTTATCAGTGTTGTAAGCTGGCGAGTGTGCCTCTTTGGGTAAAATGGCAGGATATACATTTAAAAAAACCAAATACCTCCAGTTTTGCTTTCTCTATTTTCCTTCCTTATCTCTGCAGCCTTCTGATGACCTGGATCTCCCTACGGAACTTAGTCTTGGGGCGCCCATCCCTGGACCAGCTAGCACAAGAGGTGGCCTATGCCAATATGCAATATGACATGGACTCTACGGCAAGCAGCCGGGACACATCCCCAAAAGAGCCAGAGCGTTCTGAACTATGAACTACCTCAGCCAGCCTCCTGGGCTCATTGCACAGTGGAGCCAAGTTAAACTCTGCACGCACGCTGAGGAGTTGCTGCCTTGTTGGTGCTGTGGCCATCTTGTTCTGGACCTGGAAAAAGGCTTCAGCCTCTCTGGATTCCTGTTTCTCAATGGACAGCCTGCAGATTCAAACTGGACTTCTGAACCACTGCCAGTTGTTGTCCTGCTGCTCTGACTTCTGTGCTTGTGGTTTAGGTGCACATTTGTACGATGTCCAGAGGTGCAGAGTAGGGTGCAACCGAACAGGGCTGGGGGTAACATTGCTCTCACAATAGCAGCAGGTAGGCTCCAGGGGCATTTTGGGGGTGGGTGTTGCTCCCCTTTTCACAATACCCATGCTGCTTTGTTGGGTTACTCTAGAGCCAGGCTGATAGTTATGGGAGTGGGATCTTGTTGGCAAAAGGAAGGGGGGTGTAAGGATCTGCAGGGGCTGGCTTGGACTGCCACTTAGGAGGAACAAAGAAGGGCTGAACAAAAGGATCAGGGAGGAGCCAAAGGCCTAGAGGTTTCTCCCAGAAGCATTTCCTCCCATTGGGCTTGGCCACCGTGAAGCACTTCCTGTTATCTCCAGAGGCAATGGGCAGAGGAGTGGTGTGGAATGGCCGTCCTTTATGGTAGAAGGGGCCATGGTGAAACCATCCAGCCTAGCATTGTCTACTCTTGAGTGGAAGCAGCAGCTGCTGACTTTCCTGGTATCATCACTACTTTTAGCTGGAGATGCCAGGGGTTGAACTGGAGGGATTCTTTACTGGCAAAGCATATCCCCCTCTTCCCTTGGAGCCACAACCTGTCTCCCAAAGGCACACCCCCCCCCCGCCATCTTCATGTAACTGAGAAAGAGCTGGCAGCCTTCTGAACTGTGAGCCAAGTATCGGACCCTTGGCTCGGGCACAGTAGCCATTTTTGGCTTGGAACTTTTGCTAAGATCCAAAGGACCAAGTTTTTAAATTAAAGTATTGAACAAAAGCGTGTGTTTCTCAGTCCTTTCTGCCACAGATAATCTTTTTCCTGTTGTGTTTGTGGGGGTCTCACAGGGCTGTAGGTGGGGCTGCTAACATGGCCACTCATGCCCCTTGTTTTCTCAGGAAGGCACACACACACCCTTAGTCCTCTTCAGCTTTTCATATCAGCCAGTAGGACTGACTGCTATAAGAGTCAGGACTGCCACTAGGAAGCCCTGCATCACAGTGCCTAATTAAGGTAAAGCATTCCCTGCCATCATGTGGGACTGTGGACCCCTGGGCTTCAGAAAGGGCAGATAGCCATTTGGCTGTCCTGGGCACAGAAGTCCTCTGCTGCTTCTAGGTCGGTGATGGCGAACCTTTTAGAGACAGTGTCCAAACTGCGACCCAAAACCCACTTATTTATCGCAATTTAACCTGAATACTGAGGTTTTACTTTAGAAAAAACAACTCATACATTAACTTAAGATGATCCAAACAAAGTAAGGAAAGCAATCCCAAATGCTTTAATTTACTTAAAATTATTTGGCAGATAATTCAACACTTTAATTATGGTCTGGGCCTGGCTGGGGCGATGGCACGCGTGCCCACAGAGAGGGCTCTGAGTGCCACCTCTGGCACCCGTGCCATAGGTTCGCCATCACTGTTCTAGGTGAAAGAGGGAAATAGGAGAGCTTTCTGGAGGCCCACATCTGGCTGTCCAGTGGTAGAAATGGATTGCTGGCCTCAGCCCTTTGGCTAGATCCTGCAGGGCTTTTCTTGTGCACACACAATAAACTAGTCTGGTACATGTTTGCTGGATATTATCATGGACCCACACTGTATGCCAGATTTCCTGCATGGAATTGATAGCTGTGTAAAAGAAACATGACAAGTGAAGCAGCCCTCAGTTCCCAGAGTGCACAAGAACCAAGTTCGGGCCAGGGTAGCTTGCTGATTTCTGAAGGCTGGCTGGGAGTCTCTTTCAACCTGTTATTCCCCTGTTAAGAGGGAAATAATGATAACTGAGAGTAAGTGAGCTACAGTGGTTGGACCAGGAATTGGGAGACCCAGCTCCAAATCCCTACTTTGCTGTGGAAGCTTGCTGGGTGACCATGGGAAAGTCACACACACTCAGGCTACTCACAGGGATGTTGTAAGGATGAAAGGGAGAATGGTGAAAGCAGTTTTGGGTTCCTGTTAGGGGAGAAAAGGGAATGTAAACAAAGTAAAACCAAAAAGACTTTTTAGCAAGTGTATCAATATGCAGACATCCACAGTAATATTTGCAAAGCATCTTAAGCACTTCTACAGTACCTTTACTACATACTGAAATCTAAATAATAACAATTATTTATAGTTCTTTGAGTGTTTAAAGTGCTTCATACATATTTTCTGGGTCATACTTAGCCTGGAAGTTAAGTTGCTGCCATTCTTCTCTGGCGGCAGATGAGGCGGAAGAGATGAAGCTGACTTAGAAAGGCCTTGGGCTACCTGCTCAAGCGAGTTCAAGGCAGAGGCAATAGCCAAACCAGGCAGGGAATACCCTGTGAATGTGGGTCCTTTATCACCCCAGTGGGCTGATAAGAAACCCCAGACTGAATGTAACATATTAATTATAAGTTTTCAAAGCAATGCAGATAACAAATGATACAACTAAGCAAATAGAAGCGACATCAAAATCAATACAATATATAACTAAGGACAGAGGAAAACTCATAAGGCCAAATGATTACATAACACTAAAATCTCTCTCCCTATAGCACACTGCCCTCCTAATTCCCTCCAGCCTGACTAGCTAAACCCTAAACTTTCAGTATTACAAAGTAAACTCATAGCCACCTACTGAGGCACTCTACCATTGGGGTGCTCCCACTCCTGTAGCCAAGGAATTCTTGTTACTGAAGGAGAAAATGTTTCTTAACCTACTCTGACCTTTATTTTCCTTCATCAGGGGCATTATGTCAGATAAAAGGCAAATACAGGCCCCGGTTATACGGGCCAAAAAAGGGGGGGGGGGGAGTGGCTGTTTGCCCCGGGGCAAAATAACGCGTGAGCAGACGTCCCGTGGAGATCCCGTGGTTAGGGGGGAGGTGCCAATCACAGGACAATCCTGCGGTGCTGCAAAGAAGCGGGGCCATGGGACAAACGGGTTGTGTTGTTGTTTTGAAACTAAAGTGTGTGCATGCTCCGTTGGGTGCTTGTGCCCATCCGTGGAGACTTGAGGGGAAAAAAACCTTTTTGCGAGGGGACATGGGTGGGCGCTGGAACTTCCACCGGAAATGTGATCTGATGCCCCCTGTTATGTATTGACTTGAATGTAAATACTGACATGCGAATCGTCTCATTGAAACTCTAGGTTAAGCTTCAGCCTGGGCTAGGATCCTAATGTAACCAATAGGAGTCCTAGCCCAGAGAGTGTCTACCAATCACGCTGTAAAGCGGGACCGCTTGTGATTGGGCTTTATATCTTCAACCTCATAGGTTGTTATTTGTACAGGGGGTGTGGCTACACTAGCCGGGAATGTTTAAATATCGACAAGCCAGTGTAAATAGTTGGTTCGAAATCTGCTGATGATGAGTTCTGTCTCTGAATGGATTCTGGCTGGCGATCGTAACTAAGCTGAAGAATAAACCGCAATTCTTGCTGAATCACTCTCCGACTCTTTGTTAAGCGCACGACTTAACACCCGCCCATGCCCCGCAGTTTCTGGAAACTACTACCTCAGAGGTACTAGTTTTTTACAGCGCATCTTCGGAGTGAAGCCTCGGGTGAGCCACGGGAGCTCTACGCTTCCCAGATGTGGCGGTGAGATCGCGCCCGGAAAATCCGCCTATCTTCCGTCTCTCTAGCATGCCTAATGCTCCATGTGACCGCAGCCACAGACTTCCTTTTTGCTGCTCTCCATTCAGTTTTATCCATTCATTTCTCCTCCAGAGACTAATGTCTTCTATCCGTCCCCTATTCCAGTCCATGTTTTTTGTCAATAAAACTTGGTACATTAAGTAATTTCACTCCATAATATCTGTCCAGCATTTTCTTTTGTCCCAGCAAGTAAATGTTCCCCTACTTTTAGTATGACTTGGTTATTAGCTGTGTAGGTGAGAGAGATCTTCAGCCCCGTCCCCAATTGCCTGTATTCTTCAGTATACCTCAGTCTTTAAAACATCATTTTTGAACTTTCAAGATCACACAGAACATTTTGTTCATTACAGCTGCACGGGGGGGGGGGGTGTTGGATCCAGTGTGAGTTTTTCCCATTAACCTAAGAGGAGGTGTAATTTTTGCCAAGTCCCTCTTCCTGCTGTAGACATCCCCATTTGCCCCTCATGCCAAGCTTGACGGCCCCTGGCCTCAGGAGCAGCATTTTGAGATCAACAGTCTGAAGCAGGGAGGGGAAAGGCAGGAAAGTTCTGTTCTTCTGATGGAAATGCTTTCTGTCAGCTTCAAATTTAGTCTGGACTGGACCCTATAATAAGACACACCCAGGCCTTCCTCAGAACAGCATAACCATAACATTCTTCAGGGTTCAACAGGACTAGATGAACAGTTCTGAGTCACCCTTAGTGAACACTGAAGGCCAGCCATAAATCAAAAGATTACCTTTCATTTCGTGAGTGAAAATCGTTTCCACAATGTACCTGGCCAGAGGGCTGCAGGATGCAGGCTCCCGATTCTCCAGCAACCACAACTGCATTATAATGAAGGAAAACTGACTTCAATTTAGGAACTTCATGGCTCAAGCAGGTGTTTCTGGGGCAGCTGGCTTGAAGCAACCACAAAATACTCAGTACATTTCTATATCCTCAGCCTAACCCAGCTAATTAATTAGGATATGGTAGCCTGCCCAACTGAATCACCCTTGAGTTGTGAAAACAGATCCCAGAACAAAACCACTTCTTCAAAGGGATTACCGAGAGAGCAGGAAATACAGGTGATTACGCACAGGGGGCTTTGATACCTACCTCCCATCCGTCTCTTGTTCTGGCTCTTTGAACTGACTTTGATATGCTGCAATTAGGACACCGCTTGAGAGACAAAAGGGCCCCTGGCGGCTGTTTGCTGAGCTCTGGTTTTGAAGTGATCAAAGGGAGGTGGAGAGTCTGTGGGGTCTGAGGCGGAAAGGAAAGTGGGGGGCTCTTCTTATAAACAGGGCTGGCAAAGTGGGATGCTCAGAGAAGCCTGTTAAGCTACCAGGGTGAAATGTCACTGGCAGCTTATTCACATAAGGAACAATCCACAAGTTTGAGACATCTCTTGTGGGAAAGCGCGTGTTGCTTGGTGACTTTTTAGCCAAGGAAACAGGCAAGAAGGATCAACAGAAGGGGCTGTCATTTTCCAGAGAACATAAAAAGATTAGACTGTGAGGAGAATGGAAGCTGCCTTCTTACTGGGGATCACGTGTTTCTGCTCCCCTCTGACGGCCATGGTCCTGGACTTCAACAACATCAGGGGCTCAACTGAAGTAACCACATCCAAAAAGGTAAACACGGGAAGGGGAGGAGGGCCTGCTTGGGATTATTTCCAGAGGCTAACTGCAAGTAAAAAACCTGCAGAACCACAGGAATCATTTTTGCAGACATTTCCTATGCATGTCTACCTGGAAGGAATCACCATTGAATTGAATTAAATTAAATTAAATTTACTTCTGAGTAAATACGCTGGCAGCTCCTTAGAGAAAGCAGTGGATCCGAATGGAGGTTTGGACCAATGTTCCCTCTAAGCTGTGAAGTCTTGTGAGCAAAAATTCAATTTCATGAGCTACTGGCATTAAAGTTGTGAGTGAGTGATTTGGTTACTGCATAAACCAGTTTGCTCTGGAGCCATCCCTCCTGAGCTAAGACAAAAATGTGTGAGCCGGGGGCTAAAAAACTTTGAGCTAGTTCACCTTAACTCAGCTTAGAGGGAACTGTGGTTTGGACTCAGACTTAAGCAGCACAGCCTGTTTTCCCCCAGCCTCTCTTCCCTGGCTGGGAACCGCCGTGGTATAACGGCTGCTCCTCAGTTTCAGGCACAAAAAGGAGAGAGGGATG